ATGTGGCATACATCTCAAAAAGACTCGTAAATATAAGTCACTCTCACAATGCGCCCACGTTGCGAAAATGATGTCAAACAATATTTTTAATTCAACAGGTTCGAACCATACATCTAAGTCGGATCTGTTAAAATCCGATAATCGAGCGTTGGCATTAATCGGTTGAGAAGATTTCAGTCGCTTTTTCATCATAGGTGCTAATTATTTTATGTATATTTTAAGAGTACGTGGAGTCTTGTCAGAATTTGATTCAAGTTATTTACTAGTGTTATGATCTGACCTTCTCAATTATTTGTGCGAATACGTACTAATACCTTATCTTACCGGAGAAGAACGTATCACAGCATATTTGTTTAGAGCATAAGTAGTTATATGTGAAGTGCGGGTGAGGCATTCCTTATGAACAAGCTAGTGCCGTCAAGAAAGTCGCCCTACTTAGGAGTTGCTTCCTTCTAAATTCGCTGCACGATTTGTGTCTGCTTCTTTTTGGTACCTAGCGGATTACCTTTTTTTAATGTCATAGTTCAGACTGGTATCTTCAGTAGGAGGCTTATGTGCAGATGGCAAAACTGGGATTGGTCTACAATCACAATGCATGAGTCAGGATGCATTCGCCAGCATTATTAATTGAAATGCGAAGGTGTTGAGAGGTAGATGCGATGTCGTATGACGCGATTAATCGGTGTAATGAGAAAGACTTGGGCTGATTCACTACACTTAATTATTTTTTGACGTTCTCACCAGTCAGATGTTTTCATTATTTGATAAGTATTATCAATCTTTGATTACTCTGCTCCATTTAATAACTTTAAGGCATTATTATTTTCCTATGGACACCTTATCTCTAAGTGTATCGGTATAATTTTAAAGGTCTTGCACGGATCATTTTCCAATTACTATTTTTTTCACGCCTTACTAGTTTGAGGCTACTTTCAACCGGTCAACTTTGGCACAAGCATGTCTCTGCTCAAAAGCTCAACTTGGCCAGTCAACCAGACGTTATCGAGTGTCATCTATTTGTGATATTGGCGTCTACACTCGGAATCGCAACTTTAGGTTGCCTGGCTCCCAGAAGTCGGGTAAAGCAAACTATCTCCTACCTCTTTACGATGGATTACCAATGGTGCCGGTGGAAGCCTCCATAAAAAGTGCAACAACCAAATGCATCAGTGGCGATTCTGGTCTGGACTATTTAGCATGTTACTGGCCTAATTGGAGGTCCTGGGCAGAAAACCTGGTCACCTATTTGGGACCCGGGTCGGTATCTGCTTTTTACTTTTACCTATTATTTTTCAATTTGTACTTTTATTGTGCCATTTTCCTATGACTATACGTTTTTTTCGTATTTATGTGAACATTGCAAATGAGTTGGGTCTAGTTCGCTACTGAACGAATGTGGCACATAAAAGGCTGATTTCTCGGTGCTATTGACTGTTGAAATTATTTTATTCTGTTGCTTTATTCTGATTTACCGGTATATTGTTGATGATGCACCTCTATATTCTTCAAATAACTTTTTTTCGCCTTTTCGAAATGTTTTTCCCATATTTATTTATAGCCCTTATTTTGGAGCTTCAATAGGATAGTTGTTTTCACTCATTTAGCACTACTCAAATACGAACATCTTGTGCGATATCGAGTTAATTTCTGTAAATTTATTTGCCATTTGATGAGATGAAGAATTCAAATTCTTATATCACTAAGCTCTAAAAAGGCTACTAATAAAATATCAATAATAATAGTAATCAGGCAAGCCTGTTATCTTCTTTGGTTTGTTGAAATCTTAAGGAATGAGTCCTGCCAACACTCCGCCTGTAGATAAACTTGTTAGCCAGACACTTAAATGAATTTGTCTTCTCCCTATCATTTACTCTCCTAATTTTTGCCTATAGGCCTGGAATACTATTTAATTATCTTTTTCTGGAGGGTATTGCTTCATATCTACAAACTCTAAAGGGAATGCCATCACGTTTTAATTTGCTTTCTTTGAATTACTGATTCTGATTTACCAATCGATTACTGCTAATGCACTTTATTTGTTTTTCTTCCATTTTGTTGTAATTATTTTGGTGTTTAAAATTTGTTAACTGCCTCTTAATAAATTTACTAAGTTAGAACTTTTTGACTCTAGATTATCTCATTTCTATATCTTCATTTTTGCATACTTTGTTCTAATAGATTTTACTGTTTTTTTCATCCTAGCATATTGCATTTTTGCTTCAACTATTCAGTTAATATTTTAATTTGGGTTAAAATATGGTGGATCGATTGATTTCTTTCAAACTTATCTTGCTTCATTTCATTCACACTTAATATACTTACTAATTTTCACTAGTTGAAAGATACATATATAACTTTATCCTCCATGAAATTATTATTATAGTCGGTTTCGTATCGAAGCGACTTTTTATAGAAAATAAAAGCTAGAGAATGAGACTTCCGAATAGACCCATTTTCCACAACATAATATTGTTATTTACAAATATGAACACATAAGGTTCTAAATAATCTTCGAATTAAAATCTAGTTATTATATTTTAAAGGGATGATTCTTCACATTTCTTTTCTTATATTCTTGATTATATCCTCTTATTTTTTCCAACAGGGCGACCTTAAAATCCCCTATGCTTCTGCGGCCTGTTCCTGGCTGTAAATGTGCTATCGGTGTATCCGCTTCTCCCTTAGATACCATTTATCTCGATGCATTTAATCAATCTTCAATTAACGATCAGCCTACCGTATCATATTCTCCTTCTCAGAATCACTTAGTTCCGATTTCCATCGGCGTTGAAAACTTAAAGTTAGCCTTAAACGAACCCAATTCATCTTCCCAAGCTTCTCTTCACAAAGAGATCCAGGGCCCACATTATCCGATTCCGGGCTTCTTCAAAAACACTAGCCCTGATTATTCTGTCAATGGAAAGCGGCTACCAGCTAGTTGGCTGCAACAAGTGGAGAACTCAGCTTTGGCTGCATGTGTTGATGCAGTAATCAAGGATCTTTTCAAACGACAGAATCCTCTTTCCTTGGCTCCAGGTTGAGTTGCGCATTATGCTGATTGCTAAAATTGAATGAATAAATAATTCAAAAATTCATTTGCCAAAGGAGTAATAAAATTAAACTAAGTTTTGCCCAAACACTATAGCAGGCTATGAATCATTATAATTAGTGATCAGATCTAGTTAACGCGTAAGACTTGCTCTCAATCACTGACATAATATTTAAGAAATTTCATATCTAGAGGCAGGTTTTTATTTGCCAATAGCGTCTTCTGCTGTGATTTTCCTTCACTTTAAGACCATCTCTTTAGTAACTATGCCCGTTCCCTACGATGGACATCGTAGAGGCGCAACTTAAATTTATCCATATCCATTGGATTTATTCTAGGACTTCTCATTCATATTGGATTCTGAGTGATGTTTCTTATCAAAGCCCTTAACGGTACAGAGTTATGTTTGGTCAGAGCTTTGTCACACAGCTGCGGATTCTTTTGGGTACTTGAATAGAAAAAACATAGTTACTTCTTTTAGCCTTATTGGGTAGAATTTGAAGACTACTTCAAAGTGCTGCAGATGCAATGATAATTGAAGTATTTTTCACCTGATATCTTTCTTTTTTTCATAATACATTATTTTATCTTTGTATCCTAGGGTACTCCACAAAATAAGATCTAATTAAACTGCCACAAACCACATACATAAATAATCAAGTGGTTTGCTTTATATTGAAACTTAATTTCGGCTAAAATATGTGGCGAATGATTGATACGTGGGATTGAAGTCTTGGTCCGCTTGATTAATCATCCGTTGGAATACTCTCCACTTCCACGATGAATCTACAATTCCGATATTACCTATATGCTAAAAACTAAATAAGGTCAGTGATATGCTAGCGAATACGCGGAAGTCATAAAATTTTCGAATGGATCAAAGATATCCGGTTTGAGGAGACTGAACTAATGACAAACTTTGATATATAATTCATGTATGCGTAGCCCTCAGGAGAAGACGTGTTGTTGGAGATCTTAGAAGGGGAGAGTCATATCCCGGAGATGGAGATGGAAATAATACTCAGAAAAATCGACGAGAACCCCTGTATATATGAACTGATATTTGGTCTGCACATGGACTCACCATTCACATCCTTCTTGGCTAAAATTACATATTTTTCGTATTTAAGTAGAGTTTTGAGATTACGATTAAATCAGCAATATCAAAAGTATTCACCCTATTTTGTTTAAGGTGATAAAGGACTGGTAGTAGAATTTTTCCACAATGATATGAATAGAGCTGACGTTTCCTTTGAAGGGGTTTCCACGAGTAGGAGAAACCATCTGATACAAGTTGGGTGAAGTTTATTTCTGAATTGAATTTCTAGTTAAGGTCAAGAAGCTCTAATAAGTTTATGTGAAATATATGTGTATTCGTTCAATTTCGTTTAAGGTGATAATGCGACTGGTAATTGAATTTTACCACAAGGATGTGAGTAGATCTTGTGTTTCCAATGAATTTACCTTTCTTCGATGTGAAGATCATTCGCTTAGAGGACCATTAAGAAACGGCTGTTCCGAAATAAATCACATGCATGAATAATCCTTAACTTTCAGTCTAACCCTGCTTGTGGAATGAAGATAGTAATAATCAGGATTAGAGTCATGAGAAGCCTACGGCTCACCGATTATGAATTCTGGGATGAGGAACTGAAAAAACTAACTTAGATGTTTCTTGGAAGCGGATATCCAAAAGAAGCAATACAACGCAGCATAGGGATTTTGATGAGCAGATGAAAGGAGGGAGATTATGAAAGGAAAGCAAGTGAAACAGAAGAAAGTCGATGTATATGTTCATCCTCGGAAGCTGAGGCCGATGCTATTGGAATGAGACATTCGCATAATTCTGAAGGAAAGGACAACCCTCTTCATCAACTTGCCTACACAATATGAAGAAGTCAACAAAATAGAGTGCTTCGGTGTTTACAGCATAAACCGAAAGTACTGTTAACAAAAATATATTCATGAGACGTGAAGGACAATAATTAAAGAGCTCTAGTGACTATGCTGAAAAATGGATACGAAAATATCGGAGATAACAGAACCTATCGCCCTTACCGGCCACTTTTCCGAGTGTGTGCCTTAATTAGAGGTGACTGATGACATGTCTTACCAAAACGGAGGAGGGATACCAGCCAATGTACACATGAACAACTGGCTAGTGCCATAGGCTTAGATGGGGCTGACCTGTTGAAAGACAAGAGCGTCCTTTGCGTGATCCAGGAATAGAAAATGGAAGCTGTAGATTTTCACACCAGCTTTTCCGGACACATGGCTCCCAAAACTGAGGTGTAATGTGGGTTGGGATGAGAAGGAGGATGATGGGTCTGAAGCCTATGGAGGGGAAGATACCTAGGCATGGCATTACTCACTTTAAATCCTCGAATATGAGGTAAACTGTGACGAGGATTGAAGGATCATAGGCAACAAAATTTTAGACACCCAGACAACGATTTTACTATGTAGCAGTGTATAATTAGCAAGAGTGGGGCTGAATAAAAGTCATAAGTCCAGCAAATGGCATCTGGAACCGGTGGTGAGGATGATTATGCATCACTAACTCTATTTGTATCAACACTTAGGCGACATTAGAGGAAACGAGAGCAGAGAATTGTGTGAAATATTTAGATGGGTCATATGAAGTGGGGTTTAAAGGGAAAGATGCAGCACTAGAAGGTAGGACAAAAAATAAAGGCGTAGTGTGATACCGCAACGGTTTAACAGAAAATTATTCAAGGAGAGTATCACTTAGATAAGTTGTAACTCTATGTTGACGATGGAGCCTCTTACTGACAATGCCGGCTAAACGTTTGCTAATTTACCAAGTCTCAATGGTCGGATGCTGAAAATCACGCATACTATGACAGAGGACGTATGACTAGGTGCGTTTTACAAGGTCTCCCTGATACTCCTACTAAGTTGCGAAAATGAGGCCAAACCAACACTATTCAGCTAAACGAGATTGCGACCGAACAGAAGGCCACACCATCTTGGTCTTGATATCTACTATTTAACCGTATTTTCTATACCACCATAAACGAAATAGAAGAATGCACTCTAGTCTTGAAAACCCACTTATAAACGAATGAAGTAACGTAGTCGATTGCAATAGCAAATACAACTTTTCTTCATCGACAATCACACCACAGA